AGATGTAGAAAAAGGCGGTATTGCATTCATAGCTTTTCTTGAAATCTTGGGATACTCATTTAATAGATTTATCCAAAAAGATGAGACATTTACATTTATTTTGATTTTTTTTAACTTTGACTCTCTCGCAGTATTTTCAACTAATTTAGAGTACTGTAGCTTAAGACCACGGTCAATTTTTTATATCTATCAATTCACTTTCTTCATTAGTGATAAACAATGCAGTTTCGTATGCTGAATCAATGAAAGGATTTCTCATCCAATCCATCAATGAGACATCCAAAGACGGAAAATACTTTTTTATATTTTCATAAAGCAAACGTAGACTTTTTTAAATTAAGTTTGTAAGTCCTGAATTAATGTGACAAGATCAAACATATCCCAATTAGTCTGTTTTTCAATTTTTGAAATCCATAATAACAACTTCTGTTGAAAAGAACTGATCTAACCTGTAGATGATTGAATATTCTCTTGCTTTCCTTGCATGCACTTGTTTAAGTAATTCAGTTTTTCAAATATATCTGCTAGAAAGGCTACTTTGGCACACCAGGAATCATCACTGAGAAAATCAGCATATTGTGATTCTTTACAAATAAAAAACAATAATAATTCCTCTCTAAGTTCATAAAATCTTTGTAGGACACGTCCACAACATAGCCATCTTACTTCTGTGTGAAACAAAAGCTGGGTGTGTGGGTGTGCTGACTGTTTATAGCAGAACAAAAATAATTAAATTAGAGCTCTCGAATTTGAACGTGAATTAAGATTCACGTGATTACGTATTTTTTGTTGACATCTACTTAAATTTAAAAGTCCGTGTATTTAATTCACGTGTGCTTGAAACAATAGTTACTGAATTCATTAAATTTTAATAATATATTTAAAAAGATATGTTGATAACTTCCGTACATACTATTCTAAAAATAAATGTTTCATAAACAGTATTATCGTAAAATGACAGGACGGTAGATTAATGTACGTATATAATACGCAGTACGTACACGACAGCGACGTGGACATTTCTACGAATCGTTTTATTAGTTTATTATAGTCATTTCTTTTTCCATTGTTATTTATCGAAGCCTTGATGAGACAATTTCGGATTCACGGAAACGGCATTAAAATATAAATTTTCTTTCTAACGCATAACAATGTCTAAGTTTAAAAGTTAGGTTTGGAATTACGCTAAACGTATAGGACAGGGTCTATTCTAAGGATTTTTGTCAACAACACATTGCATTCCGTCTGCCCCTCTATCAAAGGTTACATTTATAACTCTACTCTTAACTATTCTAAAATATAATTATATAACAATAAAACTAATAAACATTGCAAAAATTAATATATTTCGACCAAAAAATTTGTCATTTTAAATATAGTTTTTAATAAGTATAGAATTTTATTGTGTAATATAATTATAAAAAATAAATGTTAATACTTTTAATTATAGGCAGGTATGTTAAAATTCAATATAATATAATATTAAACAGAAAAGTAAAAAAAAAAAAAAAAATAATTTTTTTTTTAATACAATTTAATATATCAAAACTATTCAAAATTTTAATTTTAATTAAAACTTTTTATTTTTTTTTGTTATATTTTCTTCTTTGTACACTAGTTTTTTTATCAGGTTCTTCAAATATTCCTTTAAACCATGTTTATTCCTTTGCTGTATGTGTATTTTTTACTCGCCGCCCGCCGGTCTTTGTTGTTTATCCATAATTGTACTGCAAAAGACGAGTGGCACGGTGCATTGTCATGATGCAAAAACCAACCATTTTCCCATTTTCTTTGCCTTTTTCGCCGAATTGACTCTTGACCATTTTTGAACCGTTTAAACCAATCATAAACGGCTGTTTTCTTTAATGCTTCATCGCCATAAACTGTTTTCAAACATTCAAGTGTTTCTGCAGCAGTTTTTCCAAGTTTAAAACAAAATTTAATGTTAGCGCGTTGTTCAAATTGTGACATTTTGAAAATATGCGTAAACTCCGTTTCGTATGGACACGATTACGACTCACATGAGACTAATGTAATTTTAACGACAAAACCTACAGATAGCTAATAATGTCTATTTTTAATTCCAATAAACAGATATTTGATAAGAAAAATAGTTTTTTTTCTATAAATAAATTCCGGGAACTTTTTGATCCTACTACGTAGCTATCCCCGTTAAACCACGGCATACTAGACGACGAATCAACCGACATCTAAAAATCAAGTTATACGTAGGCCTCAAATAATTTATGAATAATGTAAAAAAAAACTTACGTTTTCCAGGCGATAGATGTGATAATCACTAACAAAATAATAGCAATTGGTGGTAAATAAAAAAATTGTATATGCGATATATCACTGAACTAACGAAAAAATAATTTTATATGTAAAAAGTAAATCACGTGGTGAATATCGCGTTAAGCGCTCGCTGACCGCAGTGTAGAAAATGTTAGAGAAGACTCGTGCTCATACACTACCGATACAGGTATGTTGACCAGAGAGTGTAGCCGGCTTTTCATTGGGTTATCGTGAGCCTGCCCCGTCCTTTGACGGTAGATGCCTTTTATATAAGAAACACTCTTTACCGTTATAATCCTCTCTTTGTCATTGATAATTTAAGATTGTTTAAATGTGAACAATGTACTTCAGAGTTCACGGCAAAACGTAATTTGACTGCTCACCAAAAAACGCACACGGGTCTGCGTTACCCATGTACAATTTGTTCTGTAACGTTTAGTTACAAGTCCAACCTCAAAAAACATTTTAAAAATGTCATGGTACGTATTTTTGTTTTCGGCTTTAAATATTTATTTATATAATATTTATCACTAGTTGGAATTCCAGTACCGCTGATAGGAAATATTCAGATCGCACCAAACATTTTCGTTCCCGATATACCGGCTGGAGGGTCTTCTGTACGAGATACCACAGAACCGCTTATCCAAACTGCTCCCATATCAACAGTGCAAGATAACGCGATGGACAAATTTTCGAAACTTGATGACGATGAATGTATAGAAGTTCTAAACATTATTGAAAATCTTGGATTCTACGATAATGAAGGTTACTAATTTAAATTTTTTATAGAGGGGATATAGACTGACTAGGTTATTTTTTTTTAAATATTCATATACTATGGGTGAAAACGGTAAACGTGTTTCCTCAGCCAACACAAAGTCAGCTATAATTGCTGAAAAAGCGCGCTTGAATCTAGTACAGTCCCCTGGGTTTGTAGAAATATCGACGTCCTCGAACCGTACCTAGTCACCTGGTATTACGTTCAAAATACCAATTGTATAAAAAACTATGTATACTTCTTGGATCTGATTAACTCTGAACTAGTCAATCTATTAAAATCAATTGCGAGCAAACACCCTATAAAGTTCAATTTAAAACTAGAAGCAACATATAATATCCACAAAGAACAATCATCGGAAACCGTGCTTTTAAAACTTTGGCTAGGGAGGTTTTCACTGATAGTGGCGTACAAGAAATCGTTGTAAAAGCATTTGCAAAATTAATGAGAGAGCAAACTAAATATCCCGACAAGGGCAGTGGCTTTACATTTCAGTGTATAGACGGATTATTGTTAGGTGTATATTAGGGTGGTCCTTATTTATATAGGTAGAATATTTTATTTTGAAAAGTTAACACAGTACCTTCTTCATTTGTTAAGTTATAAGAGTAAGTAATTTGGGTAAAATTTGGAAGGTCTCACTCAACCCCTTCAGGGTTGAATATGACAAAAGGGAGTAGTTTTCTTATTATATTATTTAATTCAGAAACTACGGTACTTAGCGTAAAAATTTAAGAACCTAATTAATGTATTTTAATATTTCCTACAAAAAAGCATTCTACAAAAATTGTCGTAAGTCCATTAATTTTTAAGAAAAATTGATAACATCAAAATATTGTATTTATTTATCAAAATTGATTTATTACGGTTAATTAAATATACGACATACTTATATAATGTCCATTTGGCAAGGCTGGGCAAGTTAACGATTTTTTTTAACTCGTTAAGTTAAGTTATTTTAAAATAATAATGTTAAGTTAAATTAAAAGTTAATCATATTTTTTTCGTTAACTCGTTAAGTTAAAAGTTAACTTTGAAAAAAAAGTAACTTAACTTAGTTAAAAGTTAAAATTTTCTAATTTCAAAAAAAAAATTGCACACATTATATTAGTTTTTTACACTCAATAAAATTACCGGAGAAATTTTTTAAAATGATACATAATAGTATTAACTAGCTATCAAAAAACCTACTATTTCAAAATAAATCTTAGTCCTGAACTCGTACTCAAATCAATTTACCCAAGTGGTACATCCAAAAAAAAAAAAAACACCTTAATAGTTTTCTCCCAACTACTAAGATACCAATATTTTTAATTGATTCACATAAATTTTAATAATCAAACAGGCAGTACACCAACCACCCAAATATTTTTTCTATACTGAGTAGACAAAATGCAGCCACCGTGTAGTTTAAAAGACTAGGCTCAGCACAACATGAACAATTATTATCAGTAAAAATAAAATTACTTTGTATTATATTTTTATCTAAAAATAAAACCACAAATGTTAAACCTTCATTAAATATCTTAAGGAATTACATATTTTGTATAAGCTTTTCGTACAAATTTAAATACCTGTTATAGAATATAAAAATAACTATACATTTAAAATAGTTAGTTATATTTATAGAAGTTGTCTTTACAAACTTATGAATTATTATGCAATTATTTAAATTTTACCAATTTTGTACTTCCACTGATGTTAAACATGGTAAATAATAAAATAGTCAAGTCATAACTACAGCATTCATTATTGAAAGTTACCTCATATCGTTTAGGTAACATATAAATAAGATAATCGATAATCTCATTTATGTGGCTGTGTAGCATATATTATATGTAAATAGAAATTATTTATAAACATAAATATATGTATTTATAATATATTATCTACCTAATATTAATTAATTACAAGGACAAAACAAAAATTATTATTTTATTTAAAATATTTATTATATTTTAACAAAAGAGACATTTCAAAATTGTTATCAGAAATGGATCCTCTCCTTTTGTCAAATAATTGACCACCAGCACTAAACAATCTCTCTACAGGTGCAGATGACGGTATAGCTGTATTAAATTCTATATAAGCTTTTTTTAATTCAAGTGTTAAATCAAGTGGTACCTTAATGTTAGTATTTGATAAATAATTAGTAACTAAAGTTTGGAAATCAGAGTTAATAACTGATATTTCATCATTGGAAAAACTGAAAAAATCATCTTCTTCTTCACTGCTTGTTTCAAGATTTGAAGAACTTAGAGAAGAAAGATTTTTGTTTTGATCAAAATGAAATTGCACACGATCAATAACATGTTGTTTTATGATGTTTCTGTCTTCGGGATTAGCCCAAATTAATTTAAACTTTGGTACCAATGCCGAAGAAACTTGTAATGTTTTTGACTGCATGTAATTTTTAAACCTGAAAATATAATGTATATTTAATGTACCATGTAACACATTATAATGATATAATTTAGTTTTAACTTAAGAATCGTTAAATATTACATTGCATTATTATTTATAAATTTAAAATATATAAATATGTGGGCGACATAAGGTAATAATAATATAAACGTTATTTATGAAATTGTTCTGTACCATTTTAATTATATAAATAAGTTTTAACTTTTATAAATAACAGTGGCGTACATATATCATTTTTCATTGAGTTCTAATGAATATTATAAAAATGTATAAAAGTACCTTTTGGTTAATCCATTTTTTAAAGCATGAACCAATGGTCTACAGAAATTTAAATTATTAAATTCATTTAAGGCTTTGTTTATAGCTGTAATTGTTGGTAATAGATATCCAATACACACATGTTGTTCACCTTGTAAAACATCTAGCCCTGTTGCAATTGGTTTCATCACCTAAGATAATAAAACAATAAGTATCATACATCCCGTTGAAGAAAAACTTGATTTCCTTCTCAATTCCTTCTTCCCAGAGTAAAGACAAATTAATAAGAAAAAAAAATTTTTTTTTCTTTAGTAAATTTACTGTTAAACTATTACATTTCTTTCATTATACCTATCATTATAATTAATAACAATATATTACCTTGCAGTATTCAATTAAAAATGAAGACTCTCTTTGACCTGAGAAAGGAGTTAATTGAAATGCTGAGAATATTGTATCCATTTTATCTATATGGTCAACAATATATTTTATGGCATCGTAGAACGAATTCCATCTGAAAATTATAGTAATTTATTTTGTTATTAATAATGAAACACTTATATGTCATAATAATACATGATATTTAATTTTAAAGTATTGAAATTTAAATAATATTAACTTGCCTGGTAGCGTTTGGTGTTATAAGATATCTTCCCAGAATTTCTTTAATTTTATCAGCACACTGTGTCGATTGATTCTGCTTATTGAAAACAGATTGACATTTAGCAAACACACGTCTACTAAGTACTTTATATGAACCATCTTTTTCTGCTTCTAGAATATCAACTGTTGCAATTAAATTTAACGTGTGCGCAGCACATCTTTGATGTTTTGGCAATTTTATATCTAATACATCATTTGTGTTTTGAGTATTTTGAGTTTGACCATCAAGTATTTCAGTGATATTTATGGTTCTCAATGTTTCATCATTTTCAATTTCAATTTCACACATTTCAATATTATAACCACTATTGTCAATTTCATTATTAGCACCAAACACTCTGAAATCAATATAAATACATTTAAAATTGAAAAACTTGTAATAATAATTGTAATTATAAAAATAAAATGAATAACCATTACAAAAAATTACAATATATAAATATATACAATTAGTATATTATTATTATAAAAAGTAAAAACAAATTATGATCGTATACCAGCGTTTAGAAATTAATTAATTCTAGTATTTTTATACTGTTGAAAAATATAAAACAAAATCTGATTATCAGAACTGTGTATAAATTAGAATTTTAAATAAAATTAAAAAAGTTGGTGTACGATCATAGCTTAATGAATTCGTTAAAACAAATTATTATAAATCATAACATTTATAACTAATACAAATAAGTCATTCTAAAATATATATCTTACTTGAAAGCTTTAACAAAATTTGCTGCGTTATCTGTGACAATTAGAGTGGTTTTAGACTGTATGTCAAACTCTGTAAGAACTTTTTCAATTATTTCTGCTATATTATCGTATGTATGCCTCCCTAACATACGCCTACAAGCTAGGGCGCAGGAATTACGTTCCAATGTAATTGGGTTTAGCCAATGAATTGTAAAACCCATATACGATCTACAATAAATTTATTTTGTAAACATAGGTTTAATATTATTATTAAATAACAATAAAAATTTAGTTTTGATAATTTAATAATATCTTACCTGTGAAAAATACTCCAACAATCTGCAGTAATGCAAACATATTCAATTTTTTCTAGTTCAGTCTTCAGTTGTTGAATCATATCATTGAACAATAAGCTTACATTTCTCATCAAACTTCTTCGGGACATAGGAACTTTATTCGATGTTAAGTGACAATATTTTATAAATGCAGGGTGCTCAATCAAAGAAAAAGGTGACACAGTATTTATAATGAATTCTAGGTTAGCCTTATCAAATTCTGTTTGACTAAGATTTTACAGTTTTCCTACTTCCGATAATTTCAACTGTTTTGGGTTGAGTACATTTTATTGTACGGCTTCCTTTTTCCAAGCTCATTAAATTTAATTAATTCACTTGGATGAACATGCTGAAAAATAGGTATTAACATCAATAATATAAACGCATAAAATCGCACATTTTAAATTATCCACTTATTTTCAACTGATGCGAAATTACGATAATTTATACCTACGAGTTTTAGTTTTAGTTTTACTTTAGATAATATTGTAAAATAACAAAATCATAACAATTAGTGAAATTTTTTTAAAACAGGAGTAGGTAGCTAGTACTTAAACGTTTTAAAAATAAGATTGATCAAAAATAATTTTAATCATTAATTTTCGAGTTGTTTTCAAAGCTGTACAATTGTTGCTTTACTATAATATGGTGATTTATTTTGATATTATTGAAAACAATTTAATAATAATAATAGGCAGCTGAACTTTAACATTAACCAGATATTTTTCTAAAGTCACGAATAATTATAATTATAATGCATGAGGAATATGTATATATTTTATAATTTTTATTTAACATATATATTTTACTATAAATAAACTTACCTTGATGTGAGTTTTTAAATTTGAATTTGAACTTATAGAAGTTGATATCAATTTTATTTTTGGCATGCATAGCGTGCATTTGAATGTAAATTTGATTTTTCAGTTGTATCTGATGTTGATAGTTGTTGTTCGAAATAAGTTTTAAATAAGGCCACTTTAAATGGTCTTCAGACATTGTAGTTTAAAACAATAAACTTTCACAGAATATAATAAGCTAATAAACCAGGGCCGTAGCTAGAACAAATTTTCGGGGGGGTTAAATCAAATAATATTTTCATTTTAAGTAATTAAAAGAACACTTATTTAAAAAAAAAAATCACATTTTACTATGTTAATGCATTATAATATATTATATTTTATAGCACAAAATCTATTTGTCGGTTTTTTTTCTTTGGCGAAACGATCAATAACTTCATCCGGATCGATATGAATTTGCTTATGAACACTCAAAAGAGCTAAACCTGTAAGTCGTTCTTGGCCTGTTGAGTTGCGTAAATAGTTTTTTAATCTTTTCATGGTTGAAAATGTACGTTCTGGCGTAGAAGTTGAAACTGGCAATGTAGCTAAAAGCTTCAAAAGAAAAGATATGTTTGGAAAATATTCAAAATTACATTTAATGTATGCTTCAATAGCTGAATTTGGTTGGTCTTTTTCTGGTTTGTTAGACCATTTTCTTTTCCAGAGTTGAATTTCTGTTGGCAGTACTTCCATATCCAGAAATTCAGAATATATTTCGAAGTCGTTTGCATCTATTTCAAATTTGTTGCATATTTTTGGTAACAACTTGAACAGCGAAGAAATTTGTTTTTTTGTGATTATTAAACCTTGCTTGAAGTTGTTCAATGAAATCGTCGAAAAAAAGGAATAGCTATTGTTATGCGGTAATATTCTTCAGGTGAATTTGTAATGACGTTAATTCGATGTTTTTGACGTGCAACGATTCTTGGTATTTTTATGTCTTCTTCACTATCAACTGATTTTAAGAGATCCTTTGCTTTTTCAAAAATCTTGGAAAATGTAGTATCCATATTATTCCGCATATCATGTATTTCGTGTAACACAGTATCAACGTATTCCATTGCTTCGGTCAAATCACAATTTACAGACTGTAAATTCTTACACAGTGGTAATGTTTGGGTAAAAAAGTATAGAAGCTGTGACCATACTTATAACAAAGTCGCTGGTTATAATAGTTTTTTCCTAATTGTAAAGCTTTTGATGACGTTTCAATATCACGTTTTAACTTTAATTCATCTAATGTATTTACAATTGCTTTATAAATTTCTGTAAATCGTATAAGTCCGTCGTGATTTTCCACCCAGCATGTCTCACACATTGATGTAAGTTTGGTCCATTTAGATTCAGGAAACTGTTCTTTAATATATTTTTTTTAATAATTCTGTGCGCATTGCAGATGCTTTAATAAAATTACCTATCGATTTAATAGTACCAATACAGTTACGAATATGTTGAATACTACACGAATGAGAGAGAGCTAAATTTAAAGAATGAGCACTGCAGTGTACATAAAGTGCTGCTGGATGTACTTTTCGAATAATTGCTTGCACTCCGTTAAAATTACCGCTCATTGATGCCGCCCCGTCATATCCTTGCCCTACCATATACTTCGAATCTATACCAAGACATTTAATAGTTTCTAAAATAACATCGGCTATATTTTTGCCAGTAGTATTTTCTACTGACACAAATTTTAAAAAATCTTCCCGTAAAATAAATTGATGTTCAGGATCTTCATCGACGTATCGAACACAAAATGACATTTGTTCGATTCGAGATACATCAGTTGTCTCGTCTACTAAAATTGAAAATGATTTTGCCCTATTAATTCTATTTACTAAACGATCTTGTATTATTTTTTCCGATGATAGTGATTAAATTATTTTGTATGGTAGGACTTATATACATAGCTTTAATTGCGCCGTTTTCAATGCGATCGGTCATCATTTTATCACCGAAGTTCATTCGCATTCGCATAAGAGCTCTAAAAGTACCATCATTATGAATTGGCTCATCTGATGTGAGTGGCCCAGCGTCAGATGTACCACGAAGGGCCAATTCTTGACGGCCACACAATATAATAGTTTGAATAACCGGTATTAATTTTTTTTTATTTTCTGCAATTTGATTAGCACGTGCAGAATCGATTGTTTGACAAATATCTAGCTCTTTGTTGCAATAAACGGAAATAAAATTTTCTGCGATAAAAACATTATTCTTATGATACTCTGTGTTGTTATGTATGTTAAAACATTCTATTGCATTTTTCCATTTATTGAAAGGTTTTGTAACCAATAATCCTGGTTTTTGATGTGCACCTTTACCGATAAAATTATGATAAAATATAGCACAATATTTACATACCGCACCAGAATCTTGCATTTTAGTGTAACATAACCACGGAAATCGTTTAATCCAATTTAATTGAAATTTTAAATTTCTATTTCCCGACATAGGAAACGTAAACTTATCATCGGGCACCCAAACATTAGTAAGTAATTTATATTTTATTCCATCACTAACCTTTTGATCTAAACAGCAGCCAATATCAATAATATCATTTGTAGATTCCGTTGTAGTTAGTGTATTTGTAATTATTGCGGTCGATGTAGAACTTGTACTTGTTTCATTCTCGGTTGTTTTTATTTTTTTACAAAAATAATTTGTAAGGGAATTATTACGCTTACGATTTGACATTTTATTAAATCAAATAAAAAATTATACAGTAATATTTGAGGGTTACACAGCGCGTACAAAACTGATACTAATTTGTACTAAAATATTAGTAGTGGTATACTTATTTAATGTTCACGATAAAATTATTAATAATGCTATAACTATGTACACTACGGACAATATCGTGGAGTTTTTCGAGATAAAATGACAATTGACAATACGATCGATAAGACCATAATTTATTGTTCGATAATATATTAAGTATTTATAGACGTTTCGTCTGTCGACAAAACGTCTTTAATCTTGTATGACTTATCTATGTATAATGTATAATATTATATAATTATATTATATTACCTACCTATATTATAGAAATCGCTATCAAACATAGTTATTATATTATTGGGTACCCAAATGGCCACATGGTAAATTATTATAATTAAGTTACTTATATAAATTTAATTTATTAGTTGTAAAATATTTCGGGGGGGGTTTGAACCCCTAAAACCCCCCCTCATATACGGCCTTGGTTGTGACACTACAGCATCCAATACTGGTCGTTTGAAGGGTGCATGTGTCTTATTAGAACAGCGTTTCGAAAAAGATATGTTATATCTAATGTGCCGTCAACATATCTATGAATTGGTGTTAAGGTGTGTCTTTGAAGAAAAATTTGGCATTACGTCAGAGCCCAATATTCCACTTTTAAAAAAAGTCCAAGAATACTGGAGCAAATTAAATACTAGTTATTATAATGCGGATATTGAAGATAGTAATATTTGTATAGCTTTTTCACACACAAAAAATGATGTGTTTCAGTTTGCTCTCGATCATTTGAAAAGTGAACAATTTCGTGAAGACTACAGGGAACTTCTAGAACTTACGATTGTTTTTCTTGGAGGAACTCCACATCGTGGAATATCATTTCGTATTCCAGGTGCTTCCTATCATGCTAAGTGGATGGCCAAAGCAATATGTTGCCTAAAAATACAGATGGTAGAAGGTACAGACCATATATGATTACAGGAAAAATATCCTAACGCTAAAAAAAACATACACTAACAAATTATATTTAATTATGTAATTTATGTATAGTATTATTTGTGTTTAATTTGAATTACATATGTATAAAATGTTATATCATGTTAAGAGTGGACTATTTAATAGCTCTTAGAAAGTTATTAATGTAGTTATGTTGTTAATTTTCTTGGTACAAAGTATATTATAGATAAACTGAATATGTAAAATATAACAAAAATTGGGTTTTTATTATTATGTGGGTGAATGAGTAGTTACATGAAAAAAGTATAAATAACATTTATTATAGTGAATTTAATTTAAAAAAATGTTTAATTCTTTTACTTTTTTGTCTATCTTAAATATTTAAGACCGGCCCAATTCACTTATCAACGCCCAAACCAAACTGCTGGGTATAGAGACTTCAAATTTTGTACAAAGGTTCTTTAAGCAATGTAAAGGCGCACTAAGAAAGGGTTTTTCAAAATTCGCATTTTAACACGTTGACGGACATGACTGCTATAGCAGTCATGCACCTGGCTGTAATTTCATCATCAGTTTTATATCTCATTAAAAGTTGCTTTATATAAAAAATGAGTCAGAGCTTTTTTTTTTAATATAAAGAAACAAAAAAAAAATGAAAATAGAAAAAAACTCAACTGCTATAGCAGTTGAAGCCCATAGACGACTTTTTTTCTACGTGTAGGGTATATATGACTGCTATAGCAGTTAAGTAAATAACATTTATATTTTTGTTTTGCAATTAGTATAAATAACTACATAGTTTACGCAAATCCTTTTTATTATAACAATTAAAATTATATATAAAATATAAATCAAATCAAATAAGTTCTTTGAGTATTATATATAAATAGTAGAAATAAAACAATATGTATAATAAGGGTAAAATATATACATTTATAAAATAAAATATTATAGGCATGTAATTTATGAGTGGTAATTTGTAAAGCATGGCCCTGGGCATAATGGAGGTTTTGATGGACAATCTTTGCACCTCCAAGACGTATTTTTTCTTATTTTTTGTTTATAACATTCACGACAACTCAAAAAGTATGTTTTTCTTGACCACCCTATAGTAAAATTAAGCAAAATAAAATACATAGTTAATTATTATAAAATGTAATATACTCATACTACCTTCAGGCAATGGTATTTTCTCTTGAGAGTGACTTGGAATGTTTGTATTAGTGCTACTTTTCCCTTTGTCTTTTTTGATCAATTGATGTCCATTTGTAATGTCAGTTGGTAAGTGAATAAGCTTTGTGACGATTTCCCGATGATAATCAATAAAGTGTCCTTTGTACTGCGGAAATTTTTTTCATAGATGTAGAATGAGTTCCACAAAGCCATGTCTAGAAGATGAAACATTACTTTTTTATACCACTTGATGGTTTTTCTCGGACTTGAATAATACGATAGCATTTGATCACAGCGATCTAAACCAGACATATTTGAGTTGTACTCAATTATTTGTTTAGGCTTTTGAATCTCTATCCCTATTCTATTTTGTATGATGACCATTTGAGGCTGATATCCGGTAGTTATAGTAAAAATATCTCTTTTGTCTTTCCATCTACTTACATTAATAGGCCCTTTTCTCTTAAATATGTGGTCTCCTTTCTTAAGTCTTATATTTTTACCTGTTATTTGTTTAGGATTTAATTTTCTATTTGATCTTAAAGTTCCGGTTGTATGTGTTTTATTTTCTAGTAATATTTTCGATAAACCCACACTATTATAAAAATTATCCATAAAAAGGTGGTGACCCTTATTTAAAAATGGTTTCATTAATCGTATAACTAAATCTTTAGATGATGAAGTATTTTCTATATTTTTTCCTTTATATATTTCTGCAGAAAGTACATACCCATCAGGAGTGCAAAGCTCATAAAATTTTATTCCGTATTTATGTCTTTTGTTTTTAATGTACTGACGAAATATTAAACGGCCTCTCCAGAGCATCATAGATTCGTCAAGTGACAAATTTTTTGATGGGGAGTAGGATGATTGTAATTTTTTTATGATCATATTAAAAAGTGGAGATATTTTGACGAGTCTATCATTTACTTCAACTGGAACACCTTCAGAACAATTTAGAGCCTCTAAGATTTGTTCAAACCTTCTCCCGCTCATTGTGAAGGACAATATAGGATGATAATTTAATGGATCTTTTCCGAAACATTGCCTAAGTACAGATATACCAAGTTCCGCTCTCAATAAACACAATCCAAAAAATTTTTGTAATTCGATCAATGAAATCTCTTTGAAATGTTGTATATGACAATTTTTTGTGTGGGGGCGTTTTAATTTTTTCAGTTTTTCTCCATATTTATTAGACGAATTCAAAATAAGTTGCATTACCTCATCGTCCCAGATCTTAATGAAAACGTCATACGAAGTAACTTCATCGGTTATATCTAATTGCACACCAGCACCAAATTCATCAAAATTGAAATCTTCAATATCATTGAAGTCGTCTTCCCAATCACTGCTTATATCTTCGAAATCGATGGATAAGTTATCTATACTAGCATTATTTTGTTGCCCGTCACTATCCTCACTACTCGGTGAGTTAAATTCTTCATTTGAAGAAACGTCATTGTTCAAATTATAAGTAGGATCATCAGCTGAACCGATCGATTCTTCAAATGAGTCTATACCAATAAAAATATGTTTTAAAAAAAGTAAATTTATTTTTCAAAGAATAACATAGATTATTATTGACGTGCTGGTATACACAAACATTATTACATTATTATAAATACCTGTATCAGATGAGTTATAAAAATCACTGTTTGATTCGTCCAAAATCTGACGAATATTTTCGTCATCATATTTTTTTCGAGTATCCATAGTGAGACCAAATAATTATAAAACAGAACGCAAGGACACACTAATACGAATAAATCTGAAGACATACTAATGTGTTTCTATACACGACGTATTGGTTGACAAGTAACAATAATATTGACAGATAAGATATTAATATTATGCATAATATAACTATACGAGTATATTTGTAATGTCTACAAAAAATTAGATAAAAAAAAACATAAATATGTAAAATGGTAAAATGAAAAATCTATTTTTAAACTTAATTTGATTAATTTGCCTGACCAGATTGTAAGTCGTAAATGGACATTACACTTGTCTTAGTACGATAAACCCATGAATAACATGACTGCTATAGTGGTTATGCCACTTTACGACTTGCAAATGTATAACTGTTATAGTAGTTATGTTCTTTTTACGACTTAAATTAGTATGACTGCTATAGCAGTGACTGTCACTTTATTATAATTGTTAAAATAAACTCAGTTTGTTATTTTCGTGAGGTAAACCTTGAGAGTTAATATAAATTGGCATAAACTGAATTGATTAAAATTGTTAACACGACATTAGAGTTTTTAAATGTGAATGGTTAAATGGTACCTAAAATTGTTGTACATATTAAAGGAGATGGTGTCTGTTTATTTAATTCGCTATCCTATCTTATGTATGGTCAGCTAGTATATATATATATAAAATAAATAATGCCATTATGAGAAAACTGATTTTGATTTATGGCGATAATTATTGTGGTTCAGTAAGTAAATTATAAATGAATAGATTGCCTATCCTGTTTGAATCTATACAATATTTTAGTTTGTATGAAATGGTTAAACTGTAATTTGAGTTTATGTTTTTGATTACACTTTTTAGAATAATCGCCACCTCTATATTACTCTATGGGCGCAGAATACGTTATCACTCATAAACAATATCAATATTATCACCGAACAATATATTGTTGAAAATGAGTTAAAACTGTTGAAAGAACACTGAATAATAATAAAAAATATGCATCTATTGCAATTCCAAATTTGCTTGTTTCTAGTAATGTTTGTTTTCATAAGACTCGCGAAAATTACGTGGGCAATGGATTTTTTCCGTTTTTATAATATCGTAACAAATAGAGATACACATTACTAACATCTAGTCAGATTACAGATACTATTTTAACCACGATTAAAGATATACATATACGAGTATATCTTTAACCGTGATTTTAACTTTTAGAATCTAATATTTCATACCAAAGAGATACAGTAAACCACCCAGCTGAATGAGTGTCGTTTCTATATTGTTCTGTGATAATATTTTACACGGTTTATGGTCTATGAGTAATATTGAGTATTTTACTATTTAATATTTTAAATCTTAATAATAAAAATTATTTCTTTTATATATTATATAATGATTGATTAATGTATCAAAAATATTTTAAGACTCGTTTGAAACTAAACCAATCTACTTTTTATCTAAACCAGAACCTCCAGAAAACCAGTCTTTCATTTTTTTTGACAGTTGTACGTCTTTATTTCCTTTTTTTTTCTTAATACTTCAATTCTTTGCTCCGCTTCGTTTCTTTTAATAATTCATTATTATTTTTAATAATAAAACTATCTGTATAGTTTAAAAATACATACATTAAATATAAATAAATTATAATAAGTACCAAGTACATACCTGTTTCTTATACGAAAAAAAAAATAGGTAGCTACACACCTGCCTTAACGAGTGATCAGCAAATACTAAGTCAAAATATTAAAATAGTAAAAAAAAACACAACATTTGTTCACTATTTATAAACTGATGTATCGTACGTGTATCAACTGATGTGATGTAAATATTTAGCAAGTACGTCGATCGATTCATCGATTAAACGAAAAATAAATATAATATACTGCTAATAACAAAATATATAACTAATAATAAATACTAATAATGAATATTATTCTTATCGGCGATCAACGTCGTCGTAATTTCGGGGAAAAAATAAATATACAAACTAAAAATTACAATAAACAAAATTAAAATATAATATTATGTTAACGGATTAATGCGTAGTAATGAACATTTTATGTTATCAATAATATTTTTTCATAAGTTAATCATTTAATATTTTTGCGCCCATCTAGCATCAGGCGCCCAAAGCATTAGCATCGCTCCCTTCACTTAAATTACGGCTCTGATGTTATTTAAACATTTTTCAAATTGTTTTTACGAAGCTTAATATTATAATATTGTACTTACTTCGATGTTTAAGACAGACCTTTGAATTGCTTTAAATAGATTGCTAAAAATAGTATTGGAATCAGATTGACTAATGTAAGTAAATAAGAACTTGTACATGGAAATATATTTTTCATATAAAGCATCGTTTTTCATGGATATCGTAAACTTTTCATTAAGTAGCCAATTTTGAAATATTTTGTCCTCATCATTAGAAGTCTCCTATAAATAATATAATGAGATAAATTATATGATTTTAAGTAAAAAATCTACAAGGTTATTATAGTAAGGTTTGTTAAATATTGTAAAGGTAGCTCTAATTAATGACCTATTTTTTTAAAGACTGTCAGGTTTTTAATTAATCAAGTTTTATAAAATAAAAAAAATTCAATAAAATTATTTTTTACAATCCATAACAAGTTAAAAATTTTAAATTGATCTTTATGTGATGCGCTTAATGTTTTTTGTATGTCATACCTATTATCCATTATTTTTTTAATTACTCTACATAATTATTCAAGACTTATTTCATCAAGCTATATAATAAGTATCGATCGCTTTTATTATTTGGCGAGATGGAAAAATATATAATAACTATTTTCCATAGTTCCATACTATTAAATAAAATAAAATATTGCACGTAAAGTATTTCTTATTTTATTTTAGATCAGATTGTTGAATTTTTTCAAAATTGAATGCTAAAAAAATAATTTGAAATTCAAGTTTAAATATTGTTAAATTGAATTTCAATTAGTTATACCTAGTATATTTATAATCGTAAGTTCAACTTTTAATTTTATAAAATTAAAATCATATTTGGTATAATTAATGAATATGGTTTGGAAAATATATATTTATATGAACAGAACATAACAGTCAAGTTATTTTTCTTAAAAATATTTATTATTTATAAATAAAGTCCAATAAAGAAATAAAATTAATTGCAATCAGCTAATTGTTCATCATAAATTATACAAGAATTTAATTTAAACGTTACGTTAAAATATCATTTTACAAATATGTGTTTTTATTGTTGAAGAAGGAAAATAAGTGTATCACAACATTAAATACAATTTAATGTTTCTAATAAACTTTTTGGAAAACTTGGTAAAAGTTTTGACATTTCAGACAAGTCAATAAATTAAAAAGTATGATTCTTTCCTATATAATAACCAATTACTGCTTAGTTTTCTTTCTTCTTTTTAACCATTAGTTTTCAGTTATTGAAATAATACCAACTAAATATAAAATTATATTATTCAGATATTTAAAAAGGAGAAATAAGATAATTAGTGTAATTTAATAATATTTAATTAAAATTATATAAATTGAATATACTGACCACGTTTAAAAAAATTCTTCGAAAATATATAAGTGCTGAACTGGGATACGATCCGTAATTTGCTTCATTAAATTCATTAAATTCAGATGATATTTTTTCTTGTGTTTTCATTTTTCGTCAGAATTATACCATTCATTATATCTAAATTCAATGCATGTAATAGTATAGACCACATTCTTGCATTTTTGTTGTGATTTTTATCTGTATCATTAGTAAGCAATATATTTTTATTGTTTCAAAATAATTCAAACTACGAAACACAAGTCTCTTTAATAAAATTAAATTTTATTAAACGCAGACTATTTCAAGTTAATTCCTTCAGCTAATAAAGATATTATATTGACCATCTAACTCATCTGAAATAATGATCTATATAGATATCATTTAGCATCTTCAGAAAAATATC